TTCGAGCTTGTCATTGTGGTTGGAGCTGTCTCAGTTCAACATCCAAGAGCCACGGTTCCATTTCAATTGGTCTCTTTCTTGGTTTCCCCATGATGTTCTGCTCTTCTCACATCTTTCGCGGTTCTTGGATTTTGCAGGTGTTTCCTTGCCGCGGGACATAAGATAGATGAATGAAAGTAATGTAACGAGGTTTTTGGAGAGAATTTGACTTCAAACCGGGGTAAAGTGGTGGCAGTTGGGAGAGACAGGCCGGGAGATGATGGCGTACATTCTAAATCGGTGGTTTTCATGTTCTGCTGATGATCTAGCTAGCTAGCAAGAAGCGACTCCCAAAATGCAAAGGTACGCTTCATGCAAGCTCCACGTCGGCGCACCTTCATTACTCTGCTTGCTCTGGCCGTCGTCCGCATCTCTACTCCGGTCCAACACCGTAGAATTATGCCGGTTTGTGCAGCTTTCAGATTTTGGAGTTAGCATCCTCTTCCTGGGAAGAACATATGTCACTATCCTTGCTCTACTTTGTTTGGGACCACCTTCCTGTTGGCATATTCAGCAATGATGAATCTCCTAGAGTGCGTAGCACGATGCAGGAAGATGGCTTCAGCGAATGGCAGAAGTACTGGCCAAAATCCACAAACGAAAATGCAAGCCCAGGTTATGCCAGCACATTTCATTAACTTCCACAACAACCAAATGTGGCAAGCCACTACCAGCACTGCGACGGGCACGTCCAAATTATGATTCCTATCTCAAAGTATTGCAGTTGACTCTATTGGTAAACTGCTGGGGTATATCTGTCAGCACAATCTGATGTGTCTAAAAGTGAGTTTCTTCAAAATGGGATGTTGGGCTCTCCGCTCCATCCAGGATTTGACGCCGTGAAGGACACCACGAAGAAAACCAGGATAGCTAACACGACCAAGATGACTTTTGGAGCGGAACCGAATTTACCCCAGCCTGGGGAAGATTTTGGGGGATTTCCGGTGGTTGCTCTATTTCCGGTGGTTAATCCGAGAGTAGCTCTGGATCCATGGTATCTTTGGATCTTTCGGTCCGAGACGCGGACATGCATATCTCACGAGCCCACCAACTGGTTGAAGACTTACTTAGTGATGGAATAGAATCAATACTTTCCTCCTTCCGACAACATTCATGAACGAGTCCTTGTAATAGTGGAATGTAGTCAGGAACAATTGAGCTTGACACAGCAAGCCCGATTTCCTTTTCATATATCATCATGAAGCAGCCATACCTTGCCACTGTTCTCTTCTGGTTATTATCACTGCTGATACATGTACCCGCAACAGCCTCCGGCCATGCCGATAACGACCTTCAGGAAGAGTGTCACCAGTGAGTATCGTAGTGCGAGTGGGAAGAGATTGCTTGATCGGTCATCACCTCACTTTGCTCATTGGTCTCTTGTGTTGTGTTATTGAATTGTGCTGCGTTTTTCAGCATCTGTAAGTCCACGGTTCCAATCGAAACTCCAATTAATCCAATCCATCATGTACTAACGCTGTCTGTCGTGGTTTGCTTCTTTGCTGAGCTAAGTGACTGCTCTACGTGCCAATGCAGACAATGCAGTACTGAGTATCAGCATGACAGAGTTGTGTGAGGGGATTGGCAATCTACAGGCACAAAAGGACACCACCATGGCTCAACTGGCTTCTGTGGGACAATTAGTCCATGGCTTGCAAGAGTCCAATCGACGTCTTGCCTCGGAACAAAAACAATGCCGACAAGATTCCAGCCGAACACTCACCGAGAAACAGGCTGCCATGCTGACATGCGAAAGCAAGTTGATACGGGCCGACAGAGACGCTCGAAACTGCAAACGAGCCTTGGACGACAGCACTGCCGTCAAAAACGAATTGTGGGAACGAAATGACCAGTGCGTCGTGTTGGTGAGAGATTCCAATGCCGCAATGGTCGAGCTGATAAAGGAAAAGGAAAAGTTGCTGCAAGATAATATGGAACTCGTGGAAAAGTGTAGACGGATGGGTCCACTGAGATTGTTACGACGACTGTTTGTGGGTGGTCAACGCCAAGAGAAAACGAAGCAACAATAAGCAAGTTTCTATGGTCCTACCGTATGCAACCGTTATCTGTGGCATACAAAAGGAGGAAGCTCGACAGCTTTGGGTTGACTGAGTATTGGGGCAACTATCCAAAGTGCGGTACACATACTCTAGCTAGTACCGGTACACGTACGGTGCGTGCTCATCACCCAACCATTGGTTGCCGCCGTGCAGTCTTGGATTTGACGCCAAGAAAGCTACAGATACATAACGGAGCCGATTGACAAACAATTGAATTGTTTACCAATCGAAGCGCTAACCCACCATAGAACTAAGAAGACTAGACAATAGTCGTGTGTAAATATAACCTTGGTGTTTCTATGTATTATGCTTGTTTCTTTGCGGAGGAAGAGGTGTAGAGGCACGGTACCGGTATGCAGGGAACGGAGATCATTCATTCGCAATAGACCCACCCCAGCCATCCAGCCAGTTAGTTTAGTTGCTATGGTCCTCCTCGACAAAGTCATTGGTGTTTCGGAAGACGACCCCATTGTCTACCAAGTGCGTAATTGCTTTCTCTACCTTGTCAACTGCCTTGATGGCGGCAAAGTGGTAGGGTCTCTTGGCAGTATCGACACCGCCTGGCACGTGGTCTTCCTCGTCCTTGACAGCTTCAGGTAGCGGAAGAACGGAACTTCGAAGGTGGCGAACATCTCCATCGGATCCTGGTGGTCCGGTAGATCCTGGTGGCCCAGTACTTGGCGGTGTGCCAGGAGAGAAGCAGCAGTAGTACTCGCCGACCTGCTCAATGGAGGAGCAAAACTCTTCATTGGATGTGGCGTCAGCAATGTCAGACATTTGCCCACAAGTGGTCAGGATTTGACTGATGAAAATGCTGGGATCCACCATTTCGGTTCCGGCAGGACACAAGGAGCATTGTCCAGTCGACACGGCATCAGGACACCCGCAGTAGATCTGTGGGTCAAAGGTGGCGTTGAAATCCGAAAAGATGGCGTCGCAGACAGGTCCTTGGGGGACGGTTTGCATCTCCTGGTGATAGGTGCGACAGTTAATGTTGGTACCCAAGAAAAGACGTTCGCCATATTGGACATGAGCACCACCCTCGCAGAGTTGGCAACTGTCTGCCGGCAAATCTGGCCCTCCCGAAGTGGCGTTTTCGCCTGGAACTCCACAGCAGCCATTCAGATCACCCACAGACTGCACGGCGCTACAGAATGTAGGGTCGTAAGTCGATTCAGCCATTGCAGCGTATTCCTCGCACGTTGCATGGTTCACTGGGACACCGTGCGTGATCATCATCTCAGGGTACAACAATTCTTCGCCAGGAGGACAGAAGCTACAAACACCGGCGCTCTCGCTGGCGTTGGGACAACCACAGTAGATGCCAGTATCGAGCAAAAGGTCCAACTCTGTGTCGTACGTGGAATGGCAGTCTGATTCAATTGGTCGACTGGCTAGTTCGGCGCAAGTCGTGTTGATTCCAACAATGCTCCGGTCGGGGTATGCAACACTGCTGCCATCGCCACAGAAACTGCAGTCTTCCACAGTTCCGTGAGTGCTACTACCCGAAGGGCTTCCTACACAGCATTCAAGCGCAACCACTTCATGCATGAAACCACACAATTGTGCTCCAGTGATGTGCTCGGCGTAGGTCACGAAATCACCGCAAGTGGCACCAGGGGCAAGCATGACCTCCTTGCTGGGGTCCCCCAGTGTCATACCATCTGGACACAAGTCGCAGGTGCGGGGTGCAAGAGTGTTGGGACATCCACAGTAAGACGCAAAGTCAATCATCATATCGGGTACATATTGTCCACAGTCGGATCGAGGCGATGCATAGAGGATATCCAAAATGTACTGGCAAGATTCGCCCGTAGTGAGGAAAGTTCGGTTGGGGTAAATGGGATCTCCACCTCCTGGACACATGCTGCATCGCTCACCAGCAAAGGGACATTCGCAGTAGTCTCCCATGGTACGTAGTTCTCGGCAGGTTGCGTCGCCGTCAATGGCAGGAATGCTCTCAATGTCTTGGCAAGTGACATCTGAGTCAGGAAATGTCTTTTCTGCATTGAAGGGAGCAGTTCCATCGTCGTCACCGCACAGCGTGCAGGTCTCTGTAACACCCGCAGGAACGGGGCACCCACAGAACCAGACACCTACCATTCGATCAAATGCACACTGTGGACTATTAGCCGGAGCATTTCCCGCGACGGCGAGCCAATCAGTGCAGGTAACGCCATCGAAACTCATGGTTGCATCAACGACACCTCCTTCACAAGGATCGCATGCCGCATTTTGAGCTTGTCCATTGCTGATCCCAAGCGATGATGCAATGAGAATCAGAGAGAACAAACCTCTTCCTGGTTGCGGTAGTCGAAACATCATTGACTGTATCTATTGACTGTATCTTTGGCTCGTTGAAGGTTGAGAAAGAAAGGAATTGTGAGCAGATGACGAAGCAAACAGTGGAGAGCCGATCCAGCAAAGGGCGTTTCCGCAAAGCCATTTCGCTATCGGACTTCAGTAGTGGCAGTTTTATTCCACTCGGAATGAGTACTTAGCAGTTTTACCGGAAAATTAAAGATACTTAGACAATCACGTCTGAGCACATGGGGAGCAAAGCCATCCAACGAACCTGGAGTTACCACTCGCCTGATCGTCATCAATCGTACAAATACTAGCTTGTGCTGCTCTACTATCATAGATCGAGTACATGTACCGGTACCGTAATAGCATGCAGAGCAACAAACTACTCCTGTACCGAAAGATACCGGTAGCATGACATCCCTGCCTGGGTCGGCTGGGCGGGGTACGTATGCATACTGTATGCCATAAGAGTACTGGTGGTGGAACTTGTCACATGTTGTGGAATTGCTATTAGACGATTTGTGCCGTTGGAGGTTGAAGACCATCGCACTCCCATCGCCCGTTTCGGACATGCAATTATGCTCTTCAAAAATGGCTGGTGGGGATACTGGGTACCGGGTCTACTACTAGTAGCTATGCATAGGTCTTGCTGATTAGATCTACCGGTAGATGCTTTACAAAGGAAACAAGCAAGGTCAGATTGAATGAGCACTTGGCTGGCAAACAGCCAGCAACCAAGAGATCAGAATCCAGTTGTCGCCCAAATCATTACTACGGTACGGTAGCTGGCAAGGACCTTTTATTTCTAATATTACTACAGCGTACCAGTACCGGTACCGGGCAGCTAGTAAAAACACCAGAGAGCTTTATGGCGAGCGGCATCAACAACAGTCTGGGAAAAGGAGCATGAAGCCTGAGCGAAGGCAGCCAAAGGAAAGTCTAACAATCACAGCTACAAAGCCAAGCTAACTTGACATTACTTACTCGTAGTTAGAAGAAAGAGAAGATCCTTGCAATGAATTGCTACCACGGGTAGTCTACTGGTAGTGTACATGACAATGTGTACATCATGGAGCGACGTCTTCGATGGCTGCTGTCCCAGCGACCAGCTCAAGAGTTCCCGATCGAACGAGAGCAGAAGGATCATCGAATGGAAGATGGAAGGATTTCAATGGACGCACTTGACAGAGCACGCGGTTTGCGGTATTGGAACTGCATACCGTACTGAGTAAGATTTAGGCAGAATTCGAATACTAGTCTAGTACTGTAGAATCGATTGAAGCAATATTCAGTGCTTTGTGCTTTGAGTACTGTAATCGATTATAGATTGAATCTTTCGATGACCATTGAGGATTGAGGATTCCACTTTTAGGTCAAGTGGAGCTACTAGACTATAGCAAGATCATGTCAATATGGGTCTATAGAGGTTGTAAACCTCCCCTCCAGACTAGGATCCAGGCAAAGGCAATGGCCCTGGTTATACCAGAGACGCCTGCTGCATGTATCACAGACAGACCTACTTCCATCCAATTTACCCGGCGGGGGAAGGGAAAAAGGAAATTGGTGTCGGGCGGCTGCAACTCTGGTTCAGAAAAGTGAACCTGATTTGTAGCCGCCGATTAGTAGTCCTTCTAGCTAGTCATCAAAACCACATAGGCACACCACTTGTGCACCCGACACTTCGTTCCACACCTCATCCTTGGATGGGTGGCTCTCCCGGATTCCTTCCGTCAGTCTCCCTTATGGTCGCTCCCTGTTAACTCATACTCTCCGTTCTGTAGAATCTCTTCATTCCTTGTCTGGGAAGGTGGGCGTTTCCACTTTTAGGTCAAAGTGGGCTACTAGACTATAGCAAAATCATGTCAATATGGGTCTATAGAGTTTGTAAACCTCCCCTCCAAACTAGGATCCAGGCAAAGGCAAAGGAATGGCACTGGTTATAACAGCAGAGGCCTGCTGCATGTATCACAGACAGACCTACTTCCATCACATTTTACCCTCCGTCGGAGCCAGACCCTCGTGACTGACCATAGATATAATCCCCCGTGTCGGCCGGCCTAGCCGGCCAATTACGCCGCTGACTGCCAGGGAGGTGGCGAGCTTCGCGTGTTGCTGTTGTTGCTGCCTGTTTTTGTTGTTGCTGCGTTTTTTATGTCCCGGCCCGGCTGTAGAGTTACCCGCTTTCATCAAGCGGAAGCCGGCGTCGGTCTTGTATACGTCGATTTGTTACCCGCCAGGCACCTTGTGGTCCAGCTTGATGTCCCAGAACGGCCATCTGCCATGGCGGGCTCCTTGGATGGTACCCTTCCGTCCGTTGTACTTTTCGTTGCGGGAGATGATGATGCGTTCACCCTTCTTCCACTCGAGGTATGGTTTGACGAAGGCACGGTTCTTGGGGGGCTGAGCCGGTGTTGGTTCTGCGGATGTTGTTGGAGTGGGTGTTGCAGCTCGCAGTTTTGCTTCCAGCTCTAACTTGTCCACTCGTGCCGTGAGGATCGCCAGGTCGTCTTGCACAAGGTGTACCGAGTCTGAGATGTCTTGGACCTGTTTGGTGAGTAGTTCCAAGTCGTCACAGGTATTGTACCATGTCTCTGAGTCTCTCATGGTGGACTAGGTGGTGGTGTTGTGGAGATCGATTGCATTTGTATTGGTCCGTTTTTAGTAAGGTGAGGACCGGCACTTGGTGTGAACGTAGGATTTGAATGGTCTGGGGCCACCCGTCCAGCGCGTTTGACGCGCGGAGTGGTGTTCCTTAAATAACTGGGATGCCAGTCGTGCCGTGTCAACGGTGGTTCCTTTGCTGGTGCCTGCCATAAATAATTTTGTCTCCGATGTGAGCGGGCCAGCCGAGAGTTCTTTCGATGTGTCCCAACGCGAACTCTCGGTGGGACAGCGTGATGATTAGTGGATCGATACTTCCATCGCTTGCCGTATCGAGTTGTACCTTTTCTGCTGTTGTCACAAATGGATCCCATCGTAACCCTCTCCCAGTGATGTTGTCCTCGTAGCGAAACACATTTTCGTTGAGTGGAGATGATGGAGTTGATTGCGTAGAGCAGGTTGGCAACGGTAGTCTTCACGCTGGTGCAAGCAGTAAGTTTTTGTGGTGCTCACAAAAAAAATGTCGAAGCAGCCCAAAGTGCAGTTGCTACTCGAAAGTCCCACTGGTTTCCTAGCTGAAGTTGTTGGCAACGCCTTCCTTGAAAGTTTGCCCCCTGAAGAACGTGCTGCCATGAACGTTGCGCAGCCTCCTACCGAAGATGCTGCTCCTGAAGCTTCCGCCGCCCCTTCGGGCAACAATTCCACGGCCGTCTCTGATAGCTCCAACCTTGAGGATATGGAAGAGGAAGACGCCGACGATGATGACAACCCGCCGCCACTTGTCGTCCCCGGGCTCCATCCCTGTTGGGAGTCCGATGATGAAGAAGAGGAGGAGGATGATGATGGGTCCGACGAGGACTTCGAGGAAGAAGCGTCGGACGAAGACGAGGAGCCCGTGGTGGTGGGCGTGAAGTCTCCTCCCCCAGAAGTGCCCGTTCCCGTCCGTCGGGCCACCGTGGCGTCATCTACGTTGACGTCTCCAGCTGTTCCTGCCGCGGCTGGTCTGGCTCCTCGCATGGTACAGACGGCTCGACGCCGTGGGAATCAGCTTCCCCCTCAGGTTCCCTTGCTGCAGTCTCCTCCTCCTGCAACTGTCTCGACTCCGGAGGGTCCCACGCCTGAAACCTCCAACGTGGCAGGCCCCACTCCTGGTGTTCCCGCGGTCGCTGCTGCTCCGCGCAAGGCCAAGAGTGGTTCTACCAAGAAACAGGCGAAGCTGGTGCGTAAAGCTCAGTCGGGGGGCAAGAAAGTGAAAGCTCCCAAGGCCAAGCCAGCTCCCAAAGGTGTAGAAGGGCAATGCCCGAGCCACGCGAAACCTGCCGCTAAGGCCCAACTGTCTCCATCGCCAGTGGGTCCTGCTTGCTTGCAACCCAAAGGTGCATCAAAGTTGTGTATAATAGATTGAGTA